GGGAGGCGCGCCCGCCGCCGGCAGCGCCCGCGGTCCCCGGCCGCCGCCCTACCTTGCCGCGCAAGCGGTGCGAGCCGCCGGGCAGCGATAACCTCCCCGCGACCCCCGGCTTCGGTTGTTTCGGGCCAAAGCAAAAGAGAAAGAAAAAGTAAAAGAGAGCCACCCCCACCCCACCCCCCGCGCCGCGTGTCACCTGGACTTTTCCCGGGGCTGATTCTTAAAACTGGTGCTTCTCGTACAGCACGGAGCTCACACCCAAACTGCTCTTTTGTATTTGTAGGTATGTATGTCACTAGCCCTACTAGTTAAGAAAAGCACGAAGATGTGACATTTAAAGCATGCTAACACCTTGGGGGGGGGGAGAACCATTTGCTGCAACACGTTGCTCTACTGCAAACAATCTCAATTTCTTATTTTTAGGTAAGCAGGGTGAATCTGATGTATCGCTGTCTAGGTCTGATTTCCACCAGCCTTTCCCACTACAGAGTATCTATGAGTAACTGCCTAAGAATCAAGGTCAGAGTACCTGAAAAGGTATTTCAGACTAATCTCTTTTAGGTAATTTTGTCTTGGGCTGGTTCTTCTCCCACATTCCCTAATGTAATACACAACAACAAAGACTTCTGCAATCAAGGCTAGAAGCGAGTGGAGGAGACCTGCTAACTTATGTCCCTTAGTCTTCCTGAAGAATCAGCTTTACCCATATAATTCCAGAGAGAACGGGGTTTACATAAGCACAGGTAGCTTACCTACTCCTTCCAACAGAGTGGAAACTTGTATGGATCCATATAAAGGGATGATAAAAAAATTCCATAGTGCCAAATACAAACTGGAACCTGTTTTATTATTTCTGTGTGATAACCTTCATAAGCTACACCAGCTCCTTTAGAAATTGCTCTTAACCCTTTCAGAAGATGGCTTTGCCATATCGGAACATTTCAATGGTATGTACACTACCCCTTTCTCCTATGAGGTGCCAGGAATAAAAGAGGAATACATTTTAAGCCTGCGTACAAACAGGTACAAAAACTGTTTTCAGAAAACAATTTTCTCTTAGAAGTGCAGCTACTAGTATGCAAATCATTTGTCTTCTACCTAAGTTCCAGTACCATACGATATTGAAAGGCTATTCTATCCAAGCATCAGACACACAGCTATAGAATTTCTTCCCTGCATATGCAAAACAAAATTGTCTTATATTTGAAAAGAGAAGGGAGGAGGTACGTGAAATTTAAAGGACACATAAAAATACTATGTATGTTTCCTCTAAATTTACATATAGACTGCAACAGTCATTGATATCTATCAATCGCTTCTAGAAGACTACAGGAATAGATCTTTTACAAGCTGAAAGTTATGTACATTTGAAAGAAAGTAACTTTTTTTTTATC